AAAAGAACGAATACTCCATTTCGTGAGATGTATCATCCATTACACATTAATGCCGTTCAGAAATGTTTTAATCAAGGGAAAGTGGTGATCCAGAGGGAGAACTACGGTCTTGTGGGAATGTGAGAGACAGAGCAACAGAGAAACACGTCACTGAGAGACACACAAACACGTCACTGTGACACAAAAACATGCCATCATGAATGACACAAAGAAACACGTCACTGACATAATGAAGGACGTGACTGCGAGTGACACAGTAACACGTCACTGTGAGGGACACAGCAACACGTCACTGTGAGGGACACAGCAACACGTCACTGTAAGGGACACACAAAATCACATCACTGAGTGCCACAGAGGAACACGTCACTGAGTGCCACAGGGCAACACATCAATATGAGAGACGCACAATAACACGTCACTGAGTGACAAAGCAACACGTCACCGAGTGACACAGGGCAACAAACACGTCACTATGATCCTAGGCGAGGGGTCACTTCATTTGTGGATCCATTTCCTTGAATCTCGAGTCTTTCTGCATCAAGATCTCTAAGGAAGAATCTAGTGGAAAAGGTTACAAATAACCTGAAGAGAAAATACAATCATCTGAATGATAATATCACTGTGGGGAATCGAAAGGTTACGTACTTAAATAAATTGCTGACTGCATCTCCGGGTCTTCCCCGAGAGGCAAGTTTGTTCCAGGGACTCTAAATCCTCACCTGCTGATTTTGTACACTCAAAATCCTTTAAGCTCATACTCTTCTGGAACTCTAAATCCACCTCTTTCGTTCATCGGGAACTAAATCCTTACCCGATACCGGGCGGGGATTCAATATCTTAATTTTTCGGTATCCAGGGATTGAAAAAAACTCTCCCGTTGCGCTCTCAGCATTCTAAATCATCTCAAGTGGCTCTCTCTGCATTCCAAATATTTTTTTTCTGTTGCTCTAAGCGTTCCAAATGCTCAGAAGCTGCAGTCGACACTCTAAATCCTCGCCTGCTGCTCTCTTAGCATTTTAAATCCTGGTAAGATTCTTTCTCTCTCGGTATTCCAAATCCTTCTCTATTCCTCTTTCAGCGTTCTGAATCCTCGGAAGTTGTTCACTCGGCTTTCTACATCCTCCTGTAGGTAAGATTCTTCCTTGTGGTTCAGCGACTCAATATCTCGAACCCACTGACCTAAATTCTCTCGCTGAATTAAGCAGCAAATAACACACGAAGTAATTAAGCTGCTCAATCCAGGACTAATTGTTGCTAGCTTAACAATATAATGAACCACACTTCATTATTAATGGCAGAACTGATTTAGTATCCACCAATCATGTAAACCTAATCATAAAAGTATTAATTAATTGTTGTTTAATGAAATGAACGAAATAGTTATTTATAGGGTAATTAATTTATAATCATTATTATTAGGTATTCCCGATGAGAGGCTTTAGGTGTCCCGTGGCTTGGTCGGCAACGCTCTCGCCTCACACACTGGGTGTACGTCTTTTTATACCCGGCACGGGTGGAAATGTTGGGTATGTTTCTTTACACTTGCTGCCCCTGTTCACCTACCAGTAAGTAGGTACGTGGGTGCTAGTAGATTGGTGTGGGTGGCATCCTGGGAGGCAAGATTAAAGGACCACAGTGTCAATAAAATTCCTCGATGACGCATTACCTTTCTTGGGTTATCCTGGGTGGCTAACCCTCCCCTGGGTTATCCTGGGTGGCTAACCCTCCCCTGGGTTATCCTGGGTGGCTAACCCTCCCCTGGGTTATCCTGGGTGGCTAACCCTCCCCTGGGTTATCCTGGGTGGCTAACCCTCCCCTGGGTTATCCTGGGTGGGGTAACCCTTTCCCCCGGGTTATCCTGGGTGGCTAACCCTCCCCTGGGTTATCCTGGGTGGCTAACCCTCCCCTGGGTTATCCTGGGTGGCTAACCCTCCCCTGGGTTATCCTGGGTGGCTAACCCTCCCCTGGGTTATCCTGGGTGGCTAACCCTCCCCTGGGTTATCCTGGGTGGCTAACCCTCCCCTGGGTTATCCTGGGTGGCTAACCCTCCCTGGGTTATCCTGGGTGGCTAACCCTCCCCTGGGTTTCTGGGTGGCTAACCTCCCCTGGGTTATCCTGGGTGGCTAACCCCCCCTGGGTTATCCTGGGTGGCTAACCCTCCCCTGGGTTATCCTGGGTGGCTAACCCGCCCCTGGGTTATCCTGGGTGGCTAACCCTTCCCTGGGTTATCCTGGGTGGCTAACCCGCCCCTGGGTTATCCTGGGTGGCTAACCCTCCCCTGGGTTATCCTGGGTGAGTAGCTCTCCCTGGGTTGTCCTGGGTGGCTAACCCTCCCCTGGGTTATCCTGGTTGGCTAACCCTCCCCTGGGTTATCCTGGGTGGCTAACCTCCCCTGGGTTATCCTGGGGTGGCTAACCCTCCCCTGGGTTATCCTGGGTGGCTAACCCTCCCCTGGTTATCTGGGTGGCTAACCCGCCCCTGGGTTATCCTGGGTGGCTAACCCTCCCCTGGGTTATCCTGGGTGGCTAACCCGCCCCTGGGTTATCCTGGGTGGCTAACCCTCCCCTGGGTTATCCTGGGTGGCTAACCCGCCCCTGGGTTATCCTGGGTGACTAACCCTCCCCTGGGTTATCCTGGGTGGCTAACCCTCCCCTGGGTTATCCTGGGTTAGTAGCTCTCCCTGGGTTGTCCTGGGTGGGTAACCCTCCCCTGGGTTATCCTGGGTGGCTAACCCTCCCCTGGGTTATCCTGGGTGGCTAACCCACCCCTGGGTTATCCTGGGTGAGTAACTCTCCCTGGGTTGTCCTGGGTGGCTAACCCTCCCCTGGGTTATCCTGGGTGGCTAACCCTCCCCTGGGTTATCCAGGGTGAGTAACTCTCCCTGGGTTGTCCTGGGTGGCTAACCCTCCCCTGGGTTATCCTGGGTGGCTAACCTGCTCCTGGGCTATCCAGGATGGCTAACCCTCCCCTGGGTTATCCTGTGTGGCTAACCCTCCCCTGGGTTATCCTGGGTGATACACTAGGCTATTTTGGAGAGGGGGGGGTAATTAAGTTAAAAATGTTTAAACTATTCAACAATCTGAAAAAAAATACTAAGAAAATAATGTTATTAGATCATCCTAACAAATTTGAACATTCTCTGAAGCCTCCAGTGTCTGAAGAACCAAGTCTACGGAGAGATGTATCTTCTGGAGGTATGTTCTTATGTTCTTATGAGTGGGAGGGGTTGGATTTGAGAGGGACTTGCACATCGGAGCTTGTTTCTTGGGTGGCATTGAAAATTGGGTTGGTCAAATGTTTGTTAGTGGGATGAATTGTAAAGGACCTGCCTAGTATGGGCCAACAGGCCTGCTACAGTGTTCCTCCTTTCTTATGTTCTTATGTTCTTATGTTCTTATTTGCTGTCTTAAAACCTTCGCCATGTAGGAAGCTGGGAAATGAAGAATGTGGGAAAACAGACGCCTATATTTATCCTGTAATAAAGTTGGTAGAATTACCGACAATATGTAAAGTAAAAGGACACAAGTGCAACTAATGTGACATTTTATTGTGGCAACGTTTCGCTCTCCAGGAGCTTGATAAAGCTCCTGGAGAGCGAAACGTTGCCACAAAAAAATGTCACATTAGTTGCACTTATGTCCTTTTACTTCACTATATTTATCCTGTATAAAACATTGGACAAGTGGGAGCCATTCAACACAGGTAGCGATGGAGGTTCGGTTCTCCGTCAGTTAGTTATTACCCGCTCTCTAGCTTAATAAAAATAATTAATAAATAAAAATAATAAATAAAAATAATAAATAATGACAATTAATAATTAATAATAATAATTATTAATAATAATCTTAATGTCTTTAAGTGCATGATATAACTTACACAGATTCAAGCTATTGGTGATCACCATGAAGTGTTGTATTATTATTATAATCAAGGGGGAAGCGCTAAACCCGGAGGATTATACAGCACCTGGGGGGGATGTGGAAGGCATTCAGGCTTAATTCGGGGAACTGGAGCACAGATCCAATTCCCTAAATCAAGAGCCCCTCACCAACATCAAGGAACCTTCCTTGAGGGGATAAAGTGTTGTAGGAGATTTTAAACGTCACTCTTACGCCTCATAAAATATTTATATCGTTTTGATACACAAGTGAATAACGTGAAACAATAGATCGCTGCTGTAAACTTCGTATTTGCTATTCGTAATATTTGTCTAAAATAACTACAGACTTTATTAATACTACTAACTATATTATTGCAGTTTTGCTAAAATTTAATTTCCTTAATGATTTTTTGATCAAGTACTGTTTTACTTCGTGTAAACTCTTCTCATAACTGATCAGTCATAATTTTTCACATTAGTAATTTATATTACTATAAACGTGATATAATTCCTAAGTGACAGCCTCTATAACTTACCTTTATAACTTGGCCACTGTTGAGGCCAAATTCCTGAGACCAGAAATTAGAAACTGCGGTTATATTTTCCATTGTATAAATAGATATCATCATGACTGGCTTTGATAATGTCTGCAAGATGTGTGGTTGGAATAACTTAATAACAAGACGAATGGTTTACTGAATCCCTCTTTGCTATCTTCAGTGAAGCAGTTGAGTATCTTTTTGTTGAAAAGATTCGCCTACACAGTAGGCTTCTTCAGGCAGATAGAGAAGCAGCAGGTGCATTAGTGAAATGAACATGTAAGCAGTCCATCAGTCCCCCAGCTGGGGGATTTAATATAAGCCAAAGAACTTATACTGCAAGATTTTTAGTTTCGAACATATAAACTCAAGAACTTTTTTTTTTTATTCTCAATCACCAATAAGTCCACTGGGTTTCATTTAGCTAAAGTAAATTAAAGAATGAGACTCTTTTGCAACTTGTCAGTTTTCTAAACCATTTATGAGCGCGCTAAAGTAAGAAATATCAGAGACAACTTAGAGGACAATACCCTTGCGAGTACTGGAGTTGACAGATACACATTGACACAAGTACCCACCTTGAGGTTGACGCCGCCCCTGGGAGAGTTGTAGTCGATGAGGCTGGTGTCGTGGTACCAGTAGACCAGGGCTGAGGGGCCCCGTAGTGACGTTACCAGACAGGTCAGGCTGAGGGAGGATCCCTCCTCGATATATAGTTCTCGTGGTCCTAGGATCTCCACTCGCAGGTTACCTGTGGAAGGACAGTTGTAAGATAATATCCTCTTTGGCAGCTGTAGAGATGAGGTATGTACTCCAACGCTTTGTACTCAAATATGTTCCATTTCTAATTTTTATTACTCCTGTAAATACGAAGATTTCCGCAAGCCTGACAGATCAGATAGATGACGATGGCATCTGCCCACTACATCTGCACAAATGACTCTTGGGTTAAGAGCTAATTGATATATCATCTTTCTTTCATTTAACACTTCCACGCTAATTTAAGGGAACAATCCAGGAGCCGATATCATATAAAAAGTCTTAGAATTTCAGTCTCGGAAGACTCCTAATTCCTGTGTAGCAGAATATTACTATTGAAAGTGAATTCCTATGTCGACGGAGCGAGCAAGATCTGTACTATTGACACACACTAGACACTCACGAGAGGAGAGAGAGGAAGCAGCAGTAGTACCCCATAGCGGCTCCTCCTGATCACTGTGACTTTTTCTTTTCCCCTTAGACTCTGGATACATGCACACTGAGCTGAGCGGTGGAATCTCGCAACTACCGTCCCTTCTCTTCCATGCTCCCATTCTAGTATCGCTGATGCACACCTACCAGGAGTAGCAAGTTCCTGACAGAGGAAGGTACATGCATGTCGAGCTCAAAAAAAAAAAAAAAAAAAAAAAAAACACTAATCGAACCGAGTGTCCGAACCCATGGTATGCCAGTCCTAAAACCAACCAGTGGTGACATGGTACAGTGAACAACGCACTGGCCTGATATATTTAAGACTGGCTCTTGCCATGCATTCGAACCCTCCGTTCAGTGTGGCTGAAATGAAATAAATTACCTTTGTCCACATCGGCTCATCGTCCACCCAAATCCACGAACACTGACCTGGCCGAGCCCTACGTTCACGATTATCATCGTCAGCGGCATGGAATCTTCATTTGCATTCCACCACAAATGCCTTGTAGTAATTTTTTTTTTTTTTTAGTTTTTAACCCCCAAAAAAAATCATGCTAAGCGCTAAACCCGTGGAGGCTCTATGCTCTGTTTTCTAAACGCTAGTCATATATACGCTCTTCCCATTTGTACTCACCTAATTACACCTACAACTCATTAATAGCACTTCCAGTTTACAGTTGAAATACAGTCAACGTTACATCATTTTTGCCGTTTAATTTTCCTTTTGAAGTTTATACAAAAGAGAAAATCTCTATTTGCTTATTACAATGTCTGCCTTTGTTCAGTACTAACTGTTGTTTACAAAACTGTTGTTTGCAAAAAAATAGTCTCTTAGTTTAAATGTCAACTTGTTTTTCTGATTATATTCTTTAATTTCCCAACGCCTATATATTTTTTTATTTTTCCTACGCTATGGTGGTAGGCTTGACGTGGGATGTGTAGGCCTACACGGCAGGCTGTCATGCCTGACCTGCACACTGTGAGGGTATTGTGGGTCAGGTTGACCGAGGGTAACTGCTGTCAATTGCACTATAAAAGCACATACTGCCCCGCTTGTGATGGGGATTTAGTCAATGGAAATAAGTCACTGACTTTTTTTGGGTTATCCTGGGAAATCTACACATATGATACTATGGATGATTATTTATGTAACTGTATTTATGTGTACCTGAATAAACTTACTAATATAAGGCAGTGTTTTGTACTACGGGTCGTAATTAGGTGATGACCCGGTCAGTGGATAGGCATCAGTTAGGATACCCAAGCTAGGTTCTACATCCAAGTTATTATTAACCAGTACATAGTGAATGCTAGGATAGGATATTGATACCACTACATTTATCCTAAAGACAACTAGTTCGTGGTTTAAGGAACTCTACGGTCATTAAGGTTGAACGTCACCTGTCTACCACCAATGAAACATACTTCAATCCCAAATATGGAAATGTTGGGATTAAAGAAAACTCTAAATGTGCATCAGCCGAGATACACACATCCCTCCACCTGTACTGAACATCCAGTATTACTCTCAGTAAACACAAGCCAAGGTTTTTATCAGAATATATACACACTGTGTAAAGACAACTTCGTGTTGAGATATATTTATTTTCAGATTTAGGTTACATTTCTCTAAAATAATTATGCTGTTTCATTTTCCTTGTTTTAATTTATTATTATATTCATGGGAAATGGCTAAAGCTGTAGGGATCACGTAGGTTCTAGGATTAATGGGAGACAACCACGTTCTATCCAAAGAAAGGAAGGTAATGTTCAGTGTTTTAGATCAAGAGCCCCTCATTGGCATCAGGGATTCTGTCCTGGGTTGGCAGACAGAGGATAGACCCCCACTAGTCCTTGTACTGAAAGACCAAAACAGACAGATGCCATCCCTGACCAGTCGTTTGTGTTCACCTAGTCGTTTCCACACAGCGTCCAGTCTGGCCTATGTACTGTAATTCCCAGTAACGGCAAGGGACGTTGTTGACTCCTGGTGCTTCCAGAGATATTGGACTAGTGTGAGTTTTTAGAACATTTCCGAATTTGTTGTGGTATGAAAAGACAGTTTTGGTGACTTTATTTAGTTATTGGGCTACTCCATGATGGAAAGGTACAGTCAACATGGCGTTGAAGGGTTTCGTGATTTTTCTTCGAATCTTGTCAAAGTTTTAGATGATTTTTTTTGGAATGCTGCTTTTGTGAGCCCATCCAGGAAGTCCAACTATTTAAATTGTTTCTTTGTGATTTATCTTTATCAGGTTTACCTTTATTTAAGAGCCCTAATATACTCGTATGTGGTTGCAGGAGTAGAGTAGCAGCTCCTGGCCCTGCCTGTGTGTGTGTGTGTGTGTGTGTGTGTGTGTGTGTGTGTGTGTGTGTGCACGTACTCGCCTGTATATAAAACCCAATATGTAGCTGCCAGGGACAAGCCGTAACTCCTGACCCCGCCGCTTACCAGATTAACTCTTCTAACCTCGTAGTCCCCATCACATAGAACATTTGCCTATGTTTTATGTGATGGGTCTGGAGACTGGTATAGTTGCTAATTCAAGACATAATTCCCCCTCTTGCTTTTTTGATGTAAGGTGGGCTCGCCTGAAGTTCATGAATGTGCATGCAAGTTTGTATGTACCATGCATGCCTTCCACGTATTGTCCTCCACAACAAAAACAGATGTGCCAGTAGGGTGGATATGACAATAAATGTACAGTACACAGAGATGCATGTGCACGTCTCACAAGCTTCAAGAAAACCTACCTCTTACACCAGGAAAGTAACAGAAGGGTAGATATGTCTTGAATTAGCACCTTTACTTGTTTTTAGAACCATCACATGGAAGCAAATGCACACATAAAACTATCGTTAAACATGAAAAACAAATTACCAAGAGCTGACTTTGTGATTCAAGCAACATATATGCATAGGCAAAATGTCGTACTAACAAGTCTGTACTTTTTTTTGCCCACTTGTTGGCCTGGTCACAGACCGGGCTGCGGGGGCGTTGACCCCCGGAGCTCTCTCCAGGTATTTCAGGTATACCACTTCGTCGAGGTTACTCCACTTCCCGAACACCCTGAGACTAAAGAAATACTCCCAAGCGCCCCGTCCCCTAGTATCTTTTCCCGTTTCTCAAACAGCCAATCCCTGTCTACCCTATCAATTCCTCTGAGCATTTTGTACGAGGGAGGGTTCTGGAGATGGGGCAGCCTCAGGCTGCCACATTTCTTATTCCCATATGGAAATAAGAAATATTAAAAACTCGTGGAGATATAGGTTTCTTCAATATATGCATGAAAGGAAGGTACCTAAGGATTAGCAGAAAGCATGAATAATCCCTCTGAATAAAGGAAGAGGGGACAACAGAGACTGCAAGAATTATTGCGTGATTAGCCTGTCGAGTATACTGGGTAGTGTTTGGCAGAATTATTATCGAAAGAGTTAAAGGTAAGACATAAGTAGGATGGCGCGGGAATAAGGAGGACTTAGCAAGGATAAGGGATGGGTAGATAATTTTTTTGCACTGAAGCACATGACTAAACAGTACTTGGTACGGGAAAGGAATCTGTCACATTTATGGATTTATAGAAGGTATCTGATAGGGTAAGTAGGGAAGCATTCTGGTAGATATAAATATGTGGAATAGTAGTTGGTTAATAAACGCAGTAAACAGTTTGATGTGGATAATGAGGCTCCAGGAATGGTAAGCAGTAGACAGAAGGATTACGTTCCAGTAAAAGCTGGTCTTACAAAGGAATTTGTGATGTCGCCATGGTTAACATATTTACTGATGTGGCTGTAGATGAAGTGAATGCTTATTATTATTATTATAATCAAGGGGAAGCGCTAAACCCGTAGGATTATACAGCGCCTGTGGGGGATGGAAGGTATTCAGGGTTAATTCAGGGAACTGGAGCACAGATCCAGTTCCCTAAATCAAGAGCCCCTCACCAGCATCAAGGAACCTCCCTTGAGGGGCAGTGAATGCTAAGGTGCTCAGTCGAGGTGTGGAATTAAAATATAACGAATCTGATGCAAATTGGGTATTTTCACACCTATTACACAACTGTTTTGGTAAATTCTAAGGATGTGGCTGAATTTAGTAGAACACGTAAAAGAAAAAACTGAAAGGTGAATATTGGAAACAGGAAGGCGATGAGAGTAACAAAAATATTAGAAAATGAGATACTGAATTTCAGATTGGAGGAAAGAAGTATGGAATAAGTAAATGTATTCACATATCTGGGAGGGGACTTGTAAGCGGACGGGTCTGTAAAGGGCGAGGTGAACCATAAAAAGTGGGTGCTGCGTTGAGGCATCTTTGGAGCGAAAGAACTTTATCCACGTAGTCAAAAAGAGGAATGTACCAAAGTCTGGTAATACCAATACAGTTCCTCTCATTGCAGCGAGGAGCCGTAGAGGTGTTATTTTTGAGGGGTACATTGTGGTGTGAATATCATGCAGAAAATTTGGAGTGTGGAGATTAGGTGACAGAGGAGATCACCAGAAGTATTATTGAAAGAGCTGAGATGTTGAGGTGGCTTAATAAGTTAGAGGGGATGGAGC